CGTAAACAAATTACTTTGTCTGTTGTGGGACTAAATAAATGTAAAAATGTGATATACAATCCCCAAATTTCTCCTCTAGGCATGTTGACTGAGACAGAGTCCGATCTCACACAGCTAACAAGCTTATCAGTCAAGCAGCTTAGGCATGCATGAAAAACATTCAACTCTTCCCAATCAGCGGCCCAATGTGGCACTGGACTAAAGTAATGAAGATGTGTCGAACACCCCAACACTTCCCTGGAGGTGCAGATAATCAGCTTTTCTAAGCAGCATTGGGTGAAATAGGCTCATAAATCTGTAATAAGGACCTGCACTTCAAAGAGTCCAGCTTTTCTCTCTGAGAAAATGGTGCAAGGAATATTGACTTTACTATACGCACATGGCCCTCCTGAATATAAAGACAGCTTGAGTTCTTGAAAATGACACCCTGCATCCTCAAAATACATATAAGACATCTACACCACCTAGCTATTACCAAGAAAAAGATCCTCATCTATACCCCACACTTGAGTCAGGTCATGACAGCAAAGCGATGTAAACAGCAGAGTTGCAGGTTGTGCCAGAGACTCCAGAGCTGCCAAAAACTCACAGTAGCTCCCCTCACTCACTGTGTAGCACGCAGCCCTGCAGGTGTGGTCCACACATCATAAACACTTTATTAATGCACGACAGCGGGTTCCAGGAATAACCTCAAAAGCCAAGTGAGCATGAAAATCTCAGGGCCTTTCTCCCGATTAATAAATAATGACAGCTTTACTATTATTTTTTCATTTTCTCTCTGGCTATGCAAATATTTGCTTACCAGTGAGCCTTTACGGGACTCATTATGTTTTAACATGGTATTAGAATAAATCGCAGAGTCTGTTCTTACTCTGAGCCTGTCCTTCTACTTCTATATCGTCACCGTAAGAGACATAAGACCCATTTCCACCAAGCAGTTCAGTTCGGTTCGTCACGGTACGACACGCATTTTGTGGCATTTCCACTATCAAAAGTCGGGAAAGGTCCCCAAATTTCCATCCCGTACCGTCCTACTTTTTGCTACCCTTCTCTTGGGGTGCCAAGTCTACCGATCCGACCCTAAAAGCTGGAGCTAAACACTGCAGTCCGTTGATTGGTCGAAAGAATCGTCACTTCTTGTGCGACAGCGGTCATAAAGGACGGCTGTACTTTTCCTCGCGGCACACAGCCTCGTCTGAAACAAAGCTTCATTGCTTTTTGTTACAAAGAACCCCACAAGCCAATTAGAAAGACCAAAAATTGTCCTCCATTGTTGCCCTTTGTCGCGTTCTTCTTCTTCATCAAATTTATTAGCGGAGTATACTGTGTCACGCTGCTATGATGTCACGCTATTACGTAGCTGACGCGGCTATCGGCATCCGGCTTACACGCCGCCTACCAAAAAAAGAGTATGGTAACTAAGGTTGGCTGTGGAAACGCAAACAGGATCAGGCTTTACCGAACCAAACCGTACCAAACTTCACTGATCCATACTGGACCGCTCGGTGGAAACGGGGCTTTTGAGTCACATGAAGCAGGACAGAGTACCTTGACCACATGTTGTTCAAAAGGCTGAAGCTTAATGGGATCTATGAAATATACAGTTTAGAGTCTACATTGGCTTGATGCAGCCTATAACTGCAATTTGACCCTAACCCTACCCAACAAATTGAGAACTAGCATGGTATGCTAAAACACTTAAACAATGCATCTGGTTCGTCCAAAGTATCTGTGCTATCCATGCCAAATGAAGTCTATTTATCTAAGTAAGTGGTAAATATCACTAATGTTGTTTAGCTTACACTTGGTGCTGTTTATGTTCAGGTTGCTCAAAGTATCAGTCATCACTCTCACTTCTGCAGCGAAGAGCTAAACTGAGATTTGCCCTAATCTGATTAAGGTAAACAGCTCAGCCATTGATACCTGGCGGACTGTGAGGTTCTCAAAACAAAGCCTCAAGGATTCGCCGAGTGAGACGAGAACTGGCCGGCCTGTGACTCCCTGCGCTTTGTTGGTCCGGTTGTTACATTTCATTGCATCAGACCCTGAAATGGCTGCCAAATGAAAAGTCTAATTTGGGTTTGGAAAGACGAAAAGGGAAAGCTGTTCGCTCAGCCTCTTATGAGCACTGACTGGTTCATGTGAAAATCTGACATTAAATTATTACTACTTTCCTGTTTTCTCCAAGCAAATGCATTATTATACAACAAACAGTTGTATAGCCTCAAGTACTGGCACTGTTGACTTTGTACTCATATATTAGTTCTATCTGAAGAAATAAACCTCCCACATGATTCAAACCCTAACCTCATTTAACATAATCCATAATGCATAAAGATATAATCTGCACCTGACTAAATGTCTAAAAAAAAAAAAATCTCTAATGACTTACTACGTCTTTGCTTGGAATGAAACTGATAGGACTCCGAAAATAGCCCGCTCATGCTCTGAAATATTCAGCATGTGTGTGTGAGTGAGTGTGTATGTGTGCGTGTGTGTGAGAGTGTGTGTGTGGCAGCCAGCGCAGGTCAGAGAGTAGCCATGCTGAACAACAAGTGGCATTTGTTGTCCGTTTGCTTTGACAAAGGCAGCAGTGAAGGGCAGGGACTCCGTTCAGGAAGCTCCCTGTTGATTTATTGTGTGTAACATCAGCTGTTTGAGGAGCCTCACTCCGTTTCTGTGTGTGTGTGTGTGTGTGTGTGTGTGTGTGTGTGTGTGTGTGTGTGTGTGTGTGTGTGTGTGTGTGTGTGTGTGTGTGTGTGTGTCCACTCAGTGTCCAGTGACCCTGGATTTTATCTCGGCAGATTGATTGTCGGATACCACATGTCATCTGGGATTAACTGTACAAGAAAAACAGGGTGTTGTGCACAAGAAAGTGTGTGAATCCTCAGATAAAAACATGCTAATATGGTCGGAACACAACTTTCAACTTTTACCTCAGTGATACAGTATTAGTAGTAGTAGTAGTAATGTTTGCTGGTTTGATTGGGTTTTTTTTGATTCGCTTATGAAGCTTTTAACATTAACATGACACCAGGACCTGACCTGAAAAGTTTTAATCCAGATAAGATTTATCCAGATTTAGAAATCCGCTTTTTTGCCTTCCAGGATATCCATTTTACTCTTGTCTTTGTTTTCTATAAAACATTTTGGATTCAGGATAAACCTGATCCAAAAACAGATTTTTTTTCTAAGGATTCTGGATTACACATGCTGTAACTGAGACTTCATCAAACGTACGTTTGTCCAAAGTGGGGCACCAAAACCCTCACAAACAAACAGTTCCTCACAGCTGAATTACTTTAAGGAATTAAATCCATTAAATATTTTACAATAGTGTCTGCTTTAAGTCATTGTAACAATTTAAATTTATTTTGCTCTCCAGACTGAATCATTCCCTCTCCTGGGATCAGGGTAATCCTGGGGGGGGGGGGGAAATCAGAGTAATCCCGATCCTTTTCTAAAGTTCTGTACAACACAATCTGAAGGTTTTATCTAGAAATAAAACAAGATTGAATTACCTGATTTATTTTATTTCAATATTTGATATTTTCTTATATTTTTCTTTTTTAATTTACTTTTGACCAACTGGGCCCTGAAAATAAGAGTAATCACAAACGTGTGGTTGTAAACAAACTTTGGACCGAGTTGTCTGTGAGAAGATTATGCATTTCTGCAGTCATATTTTGTTCCCCTTAATCACATTTCAAAGCGAACAAGTCCTGGTCTTCCTATAACCACAGGTCAGCGAGTCACTGAGGTCCATGAATGTCGGCACTCAGCAGATGCTGATTCAGGAAGGTGACCTTTCCTCCAAAAGAGCACTGGGTGTAACCGGAAGTCTTGAGTCCCTGTGGCCTCCAGGCACCCTGCGGCTCAGTTGGATGGAAGAACATAGTGGTCCTTCCCTCCTGCTGTGGCCTCCCTTGAACAACAGCGTATCCTACATCAGGGTACACAACCCTCCGCGGCCTCATTTTCTTGTGTGGACTTCACAAATCCAATGTGGACTCAATCAAATACGAGTCACAACAACTCTTTACAACCTCCCTTCATGTTAATGAAAACTGGAAAGCTCCAAATTCATGGGGGGGGGGTGGTTTCTCATTAATGGCATCACCACCACATGGTGGAGTGGCGTCAAAAAGATGCAGAGAAAATGTGTTTTTGTTCAGACTCTAGTTTTTGTTTTAGGCACTTTCTACACATCTGGATGTTATTATTATTATCATCAGCAGTGTACAAGGGAGCTGACACTGAAAAACAGGTGTATTACTCTAAACAAGCATTAGACATTGAGGTGTTTTTTATCCTTTGATGGAGAACATGTGCAACACATAAATCTGATGTAACTATGTTTTTGGGGCTCATAATAAAAACCCTCACAGGGACTATTTGAAATCTAACCTCCTTTTAAAAACTGCTTTTCTTCAGTCACCCATACCCAACCTCTGTATTTTACCCCAGATCAGTGGTGGTATTTGTTATTCTGAGTCCATCATGCATTTTACAGTGTCAGTGATGCGTTCAGGGATGTCGCCAGGGCAAAGGGAAAGGAGTAACGTTAGAGTACCCGCCCCCTGTAGTAAAACCCAGCTCACTCCACATATCAAGGCTACATAAGCTATTAAAATAATTCACGCTTTTTAAAGCAGAAAATGTGTGCATTTATAGGCTATTTTATAAGGCCGGGTTAAAGCAAAAAATAAATCTCCTGGACATGAAATGAATTCGCTCCCCTAACATGTAAGGCTTTATATTGACAGGCTGGCTGACGGCTCTGGCTCTTAATGTTTATCTGCTTCAGCCAAACAATGGAGCTTTTCTGTCGATACCCTCTAGGTTTGCAGAAACACAGCAGCCTCTCCTTTGAGGCTGCAGATCAGATTTTTTTTTTTTTTTTTGCAATCAAGCAACGCAAATAATCTCGCATTGAGAAATCAAAATGCACGCTTTAAAAATTAATTAACAATTTAAATCGCAATTGATGTGCGCCTTACCTTTATCCTGACTGGAAGAAATGCTCTCCTCCTCTTTCGGATTTGCAACCTGTGTTATTATGGACGTGTTGTCCATGGAAACGAGATGTTCTGCACCTTCGGCTACACCGTTTTATTCCTTGGCAAACATCAGCGATCGTACTACAGTCCCCAGGCTGTGCACAGGCGAGCAGAGCGTCCGCTGTGTGCACCATTAAAATCCCATTTTACTCGAAGTATGCAGTCCCATAACCCCGGAGTTTACTTAAAAAAAAAAAAAAAAGAAAAAGGAAAAAAAAAAAGAAAAGACGAGTCAGTGAGAAGGTGAGAGTCCGAGGATGTGCAGGGGACAAACAAAGCGTCAGTCCTGCATTGGAGTGGAGTGTGTCCAGGCAGCATAGCACCCCGCCTGCTGCTGCTGCTGCTGCTGCTGCTGCTGCTCCTACTGTACGCTCCGGCTCCAAACACACACACTACACAATATCAACTGCGTGATTCGGTTACACTGTTTACCCAGAGATGGCGACCGTGCTCCTGCCACAGGGCCATGCAGGCTCAGCTCAACAACACGCCGTAAATATTTCTATTATCCAGCTCAGTTCAGGCTGAAGAAAGCCCTCTCAGACCGCCCACCTCTTTTTGGTTGGTGTTTGACTTCTTCTTCTTCTTCTTCTTCTTCTTCTTCTTCTTCTGAGCCTTAAATCTGGAGCGGGGAGGGGGCTGTTTTCTAGCAGATTGTACAGCAGGCTCACTTTAGGTTCACACGACATAAAAATGCAAGACTCAGTAAACAGATGCTTCTTCTTCTGTCTAAAAATGGGTTCATTTAAAAAAATCTTTTTCACACAAAATTATTTTTTTGACAATCAGGGTTTTAGAAAATGCAAAGGTCAAGAGCGTGGCAGCCCACCTTAAAGGGGAATACAAGTTAAATATTCCCTCCTGTGAATATTCTTCATAATAATCTGACCTAAACTTATTTTCTTTTCAAATGTCGCCCCTCCATATGACAACAACTGAGTCCATGTCTTCCTTGCTGTACCAGTAAGACTGTTCTGCTGAGAAACACCACAACCTGCTATTTCATGGACATGCCAAAAGAAGAGAGTCCAAGTGAAGGATCTGATTTTCTTTGAAAGCCTTTTTTTTCCTCTTACTGTGGCAAACTCAGGGCCCTGATTCTCTGAAACAATTCAGAGGTCATGACCTTGGTTTTGGAAATGGCGGTATCGACCTTGAATGATTTGAAATTGAAAAATGAAATTGTTGTTGTTGCATGAATTATAAATGCAAGATTTTAGTTATACAACCAAATCATTAAATTGTAATGTGGCATGTGATGGATCATTGCACGCGATCAGAGTAAAAGGCCAGGTTAAAATGAACTGGTTTATAGGTTAGATGTTTGAGATGCTGACTGAGACAAAAAAAATAGTCTGTGAATTACGACTCCTTGTGAATTGTGAATTATTTTTCTCTGTATCACTCGTGTTGTCTTTCCAAGAATTCATTCAACCAGTCTCAAAATTGCCGAAAAACCAGTCCTGGACCTCCACACCTGACCTCCTTACCTGGGTCAAATTTAAGATATTCGAAATCCTACGGTTCCCATAATGCAGTTCAAGAGCATTTTGTATGTCTTTTGAATAAAAAGTCATTTAAACCACATCAACCAAGCCTTTGCTTCATAATTCATACTCTCAAAATCCAGGCTGAGATAACCTTCATGACATCACCATGACATCATCAGGGTTGTTTTCAGATTTGATGAGGCTTCTCCAGAATAACAGTAATAAATTACCTCTACAACAGATGTAAAATCAGTGGACTGCCCTATTAAACTGCTGCTCACATCATGTATAGTGTGTTCCCCATCTCTTGGGCTGATTCCCATCTGTGTATCACCCACCTCCAACGGTCCCCATGCTCCGATAAACAAACAATATTCATGCTGTTTCAGCCTCACTGGACCATAGAATAACATCAGGGGTGATAAAGTGGTTTTCTGGTCTGTTGCCAGCGGTGAGGTGTCTTAAGTGTTTGTCCCTCTTCACCTTCACTGTCACTTTAATGGAGCCGAGGCTCACACAGCCCAGGGTGACCCCACCTGAGAGACAGGTGTATGATGGCATATGGACGGGAGGAAAACAGCAGTAAGTGCAGGCTGTCATCTGTTGATTCTGCTCATAATTAGTATGTAATCTCCTGGCCCGCATGATGCTCTCAGTGTGGGTCAGTGCGTCTGCTGTGATACTTACAAAAATGTATGTACATAACTGACACCACAACACAGGTCGGTGGGAAGCTTGGTTCAATCACAATCTCTTCTAAGCACTTCACCGACAGTCTCAGGTTACTTTGTGTGTCAAGACTGCACGCCCTTTTGAAATCCGATGACACAGAGCCTGTGTGTAACAACAGCTGCTTTACAGAGGTAAAATGAATAATTCTTCAACATGAAGACGGAATGTAAAAAGCTGATTCCTCCCATTTAATAACATTTTTTTAGACTTGATAATGAAAAAAAAATCCCTTGATAAATCAGTCAAGATGTTAGATGTTCAAAACAGGATTACAAATAATTACCTTTTTTTTCTGCTTTTGATCAGTAAATGACTTGAAAGTGATTCCTAACGCGATGGTAAATGAACGAGCAGCAGGCGATAGTTACAAGTCAAAAAACCTTAAAAAGCATTCGGCCTATGAAGGATGAAGTTGTTCACAGTTTACTTGAAGAGTGTTTTTCTCGTTATCAAACAGACTGATATTATTTATGTTGCCTTTATATGACCTACACAGGCACACAAGACCACCCTCGGCAGGATTGACTATTTCTATACTGTTATTTTTAATGCACGTTACCTCTGCCACAGGGTTGGTGTCAAACACGTATATGCCAAAGAATGTGGCTTTTATCATATTTTCTACAGAAAATGTTCCCAATGACTAATACATTTAATTTTAAGACAATTTAAAGACAGCAGGGTAAGATAGGCCTATTTGACATGAAGCACTGCCTATACGTACAGGACTACATATCAGTAAAGAGATAAGATGTAGTCTATCACTCTGTCCACAGGGGGTGCCAAAATCAACAGAAAACAAAAGTTCAAGGCAGGAGTTTTCAAATAGCAGGCCACAACCAGAGTAAATGGTTACTCGTTTGTTATGTGTATTTTTGCCTAGGCTCTGCATTTAAGAGGTTTAGGTGGACAAGGATAATCACAATGAAAAATCAGAGCCGCAGGGCACCAACACTTCCTCACTCACTTGGTTGGTAAAGGGAGTGGTGAGTGTCAAAGGCTTGAAGAACGATAGACTCCCTGACCAAACACAGTTTAAGACATGAATCGTTACAGTGGAGGTTCAACTTCTTGATCACTGACATCAAACAATGCTAACCTCTGCTACTTCTCTCTCTGAGGGAGCTCAGTGACACGACCCTAGAGCTACTAATTTATGTTGATGAATTATTAATCAAATATGGTCTTGATATCATCTTTGATAAGGCACAGATGATGATGATCTTTTTCTCTGCCTTCAAATACCTCTGGTGTGCTGTCAGACTGCAGGTCTCCTGAATGTTTTATGAATGTGGGTGTATTTGTACTAGGATCTCTCTCTCTCTCTCCCTCTCTCTCTCCCTCTCCCTCTCCCAGTTCATTTCATTTCAATTCAAATGGGCTTTACTGGCATGAAAGTAGCTATAACAATGTTGCCAAAGCAACATTAAGCAACGGGCCTCTTCCTGGATGTTTCCTCAAGAGGTCGCGCCTTCAAGGTAAACAATGATCGGTTGAAGGTTATAGAAGGACAGAAATCTTACATGTTAAGCTTTGTGTTTTGAGCTGAAAATACGTATGATAAAATAAAGTGTTTCATTTAACTACATGGATTTTTTTTCAATGATATTCCAAATCGATTAATGATAAACTTTCTGAAATCACAGTTTTAAAAGGTCTGGACATGTATCAAAGGACACAAACAATGAAAGATTATGAAGAGTGGGACAAATCTAAATACATCTGGCTGACTTTTAATCCAATGTTGATGTCTTATTTATATCTTATTTTAAATACCTTGAGTCATATGGAATGCAAATTATATAAATCATATTCTTAACTGCTCTACTAACCAGAAAGTGTGATGCAAATTGAAAGAATTACACCCTCAGACCTCTCTGTGTACAAACTCATCAATTAAACACTGTAGCCTATTTGGAACTTTTTTTTTTTGGACCATTAATCAAAGAAAAAGTTTGCCTGTAGTGCCACCTTGTGGAATAGATTTCAAATTAAATCGTTTTCAAAAAGACTTATTGAAGTGTGGACACGTTTAGAAAACACATATTATGTTATTCAATTAATAATCTCTACCTAAAATTATGAATTCATGAATACAAGCAAATCTAATATAATATATGCTTTCGATGAAGCTGATGCTGCAGTGTTTTTCTTCATGGCAGTGTCTGTTTGACATAAAAAGGAGAACGATGATGATGCTTCCTAATTTATTTTCACTATAACTAATTTTCCATTAGACTTTTGTTTGTTAATCATTTGATTTGGTTGATTGAATTATTTTAATGAGGATGGACTACAAAAAACATGTCTTAAATATTTTCTAAAACATTTTCTATTTCCATATTTCTGCAAAGCAAAAAAAGAAGCAGAAGATCAGATAACGTGCATATAGCACAAGATATTTGATGTGTTTAACCTGCCATAGGAAAGACAGCAGATATAAACTGTACTTCACCTGCTATAAATTCTGCTGTGAAAAAAGGCGGATTGGATTCATTATATTTGTCACAGAGAGATTAACGTATATAGACATCAATCCAACATGACCCCCATCCAATTAAGGATGTCAGCTCTAAAACAGCAGACAAACAAACTGCCTGCTTTGAAGAAGCAAATATACAAATAAAAAAGCCCTTGAGAAACCTGCTGTCACCAATCAAAGGTCAGGACATCTTTCTTTCTTTTTAAAATGATTGAAAAAGTGAAAGCTACATGCAGTATTGTCATTCCTCTTCCATATCAGGACAGGTTTTTAATAAGACTGAGATGATGAGATTGAAGCCCTGGGGATACATGAAGTGTCTGTTATTTATCTGGTGGAAGAATGATCGACTCCTTACAAAACGTCAACTCCATTTACAGAGTAAGGCAGAGGAGATATCACAGGATGGATAGAGAATTCAACTGGTTATTTGAGGTCAGTATCTTTCTGCCTCTGGCATATTTGGAAGAAGTGAAACAACTAGATGTGATCTGATTGTGAACCATTACTGTTTTGAAAAGTTTATAGAGTGGAAAAAAACCCTAATCTGATCAAGATTAAGAAGTTAAATCTAGCTGTCACTCTGATGAATGCTAAACAGTCACAGAGTGCCAGAACTGTAACCGCAGTGAAATAACCCTGAAACCAAACTTGCACTGTGTATGTATATTATTTAAATTTAAACTTTATCAATCTCTGCACACTGCTTAGGATAAACACTGCAAAAAAAAACGTCATCAGTTTCATAATTATGTATTATTTAACATGTCTATTTCAGCATTTTGCACGCCTCCCCACTGCACTTGTTTCTTATTTAGTCTTGTAGATATTAATCTTTGCTAACAAAGC